CGAGCAGCTGACTTTAAGGAGACTTTCCTTGATAGCACAAGCAGGCCCCACACAATCAGTTGAGTAAGAGAAAAACAGAGATGCTCTTGAGCAAGAAGAAATTCTAGCCTAGAATTGCATTGCCGATGCTTGGGCCTGAGTTTCCAGCCAGTCGGAGGCCTGTCCTGCAGATACAGACCTGCTGGGCCTCACACTGCACTCACCAGTTCTGTGGGTTCTGTTGTTCTGGGGGTCTCAGACCGACAGAGACCATGAGCAGATTCCTGGGTCCCAGCTCTGGCTCTGCTACTTCCCTCCCTGGGTGACCTGTGTATTTCCGTGGCCTCCTTCAACTGTGGATTATAACACTATCTAACTCATAGGGATTAGAACCACCCCACACGGAGCAAGTGCTCTGCAAGTGTTTGTGAAATAAATAAATCTGTGGTGGCAAGTTGTAGGATCTGTATTTCTTAGCTGGAAAACTAGAAGTATTTTCTTCCCAACAATTCACCATCAGCCAAAAATGGTCACTCTTTTCCTCTCCAAGAACAGAAGAACAATGCACCTCACCTCTTGGAACAATGCACCTCACCAGTCTCAGGGGCTTGATGATTCCCTTGGACAGTGTAAACTCAGGATCACCCCACACTCAGGGATGGTTTGGCAAAGCTGGGCTTGAAAGCACTTCTGGAACACGCTTCACTTCTCCACATTCTCAGCTGCTGGAGCAGCTGTTGAAGAGGTTACCCCGGAACAGACCGGGCCCAGGGCAATTCCTATTTGCAAGGGTGGAATTTAAGATAAGGGTCCTAATCATTCTCTCTTCTCCACTGTTAATATCCTATAGCAGCAACCTGCCCTGGCAAGTTGAAAATTCACCTGCAGATGAAAATTTAAATGGGGAATCGAAGTGCTTTTTTTGTGGGCATACACTCAGGGGAGGACAGGATGATAATGATGCTGGTGGTGAGAACTGGTATTTATTGAGCACTGACTAGGTGCCAGATTCTGCCCGGGGCTATCGCTGTATTATCCTGTAATCCTCCAGGTAGGTACTGGACTGCTCCACCAGGCTCACGTGTGGAAGAACAAACTGAGTCCCCAAGGAGACAGGCAAACACTCACCTAGGAAGAGATGGAAAGTGGCAGAGGCAGGATTTGAACCAGGCTTTCTGGCTCAGGGTCCAGTTCTCCCTCCTGTGCACACTGTCTCTGAGCCTAGATTAGGAGCAGGAGGTCCATGTGGCAGGAGGCAAGGGAGCAAATGCTGAACTGGGTTGTGACTGATGACAGCCCTTGGCAAGCTCAGGGATGCTACGGTTAGGTCAATTTAAGACAAGCATGTCTCAAAGGCTGAACTAGTGCAAACCATAAACAAAGCTTCCTGAATTATATAATTTGTGCCCTCTTTTATACATAAATATCCAAGCTCATAAAAGATTCATACTATACCACTCGACCTTTCATCTTTGTGTAAAACATTTAAGGCAAAGCAAATTTGAAGTTATTTCTCATTTATTCGCTAGCAGTGCAATAAACTCAATCATCTGCTTTCTTGAAAAAATAACAAAACACATTTTCTTATTGGCTCTCATACCAATTTCTTCTTATAGGATTTCACAGTGACAAAGATGTATGTTCAGTACTACCATTTTCCCATAGGATCCTGTGAACTAAGTCTTAGAAGACTTTTCTGAAATATTTTCTTATAGCTCAGAAAACAAAGCAAAAAGCTATACAGGATCAGATTCTACCAGAAATTGGTAAATTTTTGCACCAAAAAAAAGAATAGATTGAGTCTCAGATAGTCTTGTCTAAAACACCAACTTGTTCAGCTCTCAGTATTTTTTCTAAGCCTTAATTTGATGTAATTTTTATTGTTTCTTTTCGGTACTGGGGATCGAACTCAGGATCTTGCGCTTGTAAGGCAGGCAGCGGCACCACTGAGCTAAATCCCGGGCTCTGTAAGCCCTAATTTGAACGAAAAAGATCTGTAAAAACAGTTTACTTTGGCCCTCGGCTTGCCCACATCATGATGTCCTTTGGCCTACAGTTCCAAGGAACTAATGTAGGATGGTGCTGCATCCTGGGCCAGAGGCGCTATTAAGGAGGGAACATTCTCAGATAGCCTTGGTAGGAGGATGACAGGGAGAGGTGGAGGTACTGCACAAGGTGGGAGTTCCAAGTCCCAAACCCAATTTTGGCCAACTGTGTACACTTGCCTTGTTGTGCAACTGTCTGCCGAGATAGACACACACAGCACATTGAAAATCATGCAACTACCTCATCTCACGTTTGTATCTTGGAGAGACTACGGTGAAAACGGCCAGGGCTTCCTGGCCCATGGACATCTTTCTGTACCTAGCCAAGGTCCCCAACATGAGAGTTAATGGCACCCCAGAATTCTGGGGACATAAAGTTCTTCTTTTGGGCTACTTCCCTCTTTCCTTCCTGAGTTTTCACAGGAGCAGCCTCAGCAGAGGGTGACAGTTGGTGGCAGGGGTGAGAGGTGGGGGTGGCAATGCTGCTTTTTCTCCCTCTTCCCTGCAAAAAGCAAGATGGGCATACTGGCATTCCTCACCCATCGACTCCCCTCCATGGGGCCTAGGTTGTGTTGGCTGTTCAAGAGTGGTTTCATAGGAATACAGTATCTTAGAATGCCAAGAATTAAAACAAAAAGAATAAATCAACAAAACAGTCGCTCTTGAAACTTTTCCTTTTAGGTAATGACATGAAAACACTTCTTTCACAAGAAGACTTTATATTGTCATATTCTGATTTTTCTAATATTGGGATTTCTAGTTTTTATATACTTTGGATGCCTGTGCTGTAAACACACATACATGTATTTGTACTTAAGATTTAATAAAAATACAGTTTAAAATATCCAATGAGCAATATTCCAGCCAGTCCTTCCAGACCCTTTTTGGAAACTCTGAGAGGCACGTCCTCAAAGCATCGTCTTTGGAACCCCTCTAGACCTAGCCTACTGCTGACTTCTGTGGCCAGTTAGGACCCCAGACAAGGGGTCTTCAAGTGGGCAACTGCGGGTCAGAGCCAGCACACACAGTCCCTCGCTTTAGGCACCAACTTGCTTAAGAAAGAAAATCTTGAGGTTTCAAGGCTGAGTTAAGATAGAGCAAAAGGCTCATCAGCTTTATGGTGACATGAGTGACACCTATTAGTTCTGTGATGTTTTGTCATATAGCCAAGTTTCTTCCACTCTTGGAATAAAAATGCACCTGCCTTGCTTTTTAAAAATTTAATATATAATAATTTAGCTTTATGCTTCAGATTCACCTTTAACTTAGCAGCTAAACAATTACCACAGAAAACTTGCAAAACAGAAATCTGGCTTGCGGCTGACATTTCGCGTGTTGAGATGCTGCATCTCTGGCATGCAAGGCGCTTAGGCAGCCGGCAAATCTGTGGGCACATCTGTGAACACCCCACCAGCTCTGCTGAGCCAGTTTGTGTTTCCACTCTGCTCATCTGCTTTCCCGTGGGCAAGGAGCCACCACCTATCAGAGCCCTCCCAGTCTTAGGTCAGCAGACAATAAGAGTGAAATCTGCAAATGACCAACTAGCTTGGGTGTGGTCACGGGTCCCCTGAGGCAGGCTCTAAAAACAGAAGGTAGGTGCACCTTGGCGGGTAAACCCCACGGCCGCTTCTCCCAGATTTTACCCCAAACCCTACCCTCCCTGAAGGATCCAAGGCAGCACAGCAGCCCCTCTAGACTTGGGCGGTCTCGAGAGACAAAGCTGGCTGCTCTGGAGCCTACTCTGTAGCGCGGAGACCTCAGCCTCTGGGACTCGAGTGGCGGCCCCGCAGCTCCGCACCGCTAACCACCACGCGTCTCGGCTGCTGGCCAACAGCCAGAAGGCACCAAAGCGGGACAGCTGTGCCCAGGCTCCACAGCCTGGGGGAAGCCGAGGCACCCACTCGAGACTCCCGGAGGAGCCGGGTGCCCCACGCAAAACCCAAAGAGACAACAGCGCCCTGAGGTTTCTCGGCGAACGTTTTCTGCACCAGAACACTGCACACTTGAATTCGGGGGGGGGGGGCACTTCGACGTCCGGCGGACACCAGGGCCGGCTATTGTTCTCCGGGTCTCGGGGCGGGAGACACCCCTATTCGGCCTCCCCGGCAGCATCTGCCGCTGGGCAAAGCCTTTCAGCTCCGCGAAAACAGGGCGTGCCGGGGGGCGCTTCGGATCCTCACAAAATAATCCTCCGGGAGTCTCGGCGGGCTCGTTCCGTTCCGAGCTGGGAAACAAAGCTCCTCGCGGGGCAGCCTCACCCCATCCGGGATCCGCCATCCTGGGTCCCTCGCCCGGTCCCACGACGGCGCCCTGCAGGCCACGCTGCGACCAGCTCGGGGCCCGCCCTCCCCTCTTCCCGGCGGGCCCAACCCTCACAGAGCGGGTCCCTCTCCCTCGGGTCAGCGCTCCGCACACCCACGCGGCCTCCTCGCCGCTCCCTCCCTCCCTCCCAGCCTCCTTCGGCCCGGCCTCGCCCCGCGCCACCTGCCCGGCGCGCCTTCCCCGACCCCGCAGGCCCGCCCCCTTCTCCTTCCTTCTCAAAGCCCTGTCCCGCCGCCCCCACCCAGACTGGTCACCCGTCCCCGCCCAGCTTCGCAGCCTTGCCCATCTTTGCTCACTCCGAGGCCTCCACCCGCGCTGCTCCCCTTCCCGGATTCTTGCGGCCCAGACTCCAGACCCCTCCCCGGGCCAGGGCGGAGACGCCTCACGCGCCCGGATCATCGCTGCTGCGGGGCGGCGCCCGCGTGAGGACCTGGCGGCGAGGCCCGGGCAGCAGAAGGCGGCCTTTGTGGCCCGGGCAGGTGCCTCGCAGGCAGCTGGGGCGTCCTCCGCAGACTCCCACCCCGCAGACCGCCACCTGGGAAGGTCCAGGCTGGGCAGCCCCCAGCTGGGGCGACGCGGCAGAGGGTGCGTTGATGTTCGGCGGGGTGGGGACCTGGGACTCGGCCTGACGGGCCCAGCCTTGCAACCACTCACCTCACGTCGACGAGCGAGGGAAGGGCGCCCACCGTGTGCCAGGAGTGAGCCCTGAAGCCGGCTGCCTGCTCACTCGGGTCCGTGCGAAGCCCACGAGCACGCGCCGAACGCTCAGGCACCGCACGGAGCTCTGAGGCGCGGAGGGGGTCTGACCTGCGCTCCAGCTCGGCCCCAGCGGCCGCCCCCCACCCAGACACACCTCCCGCCGCGTCCCCCGAGCTGGGCCCCTGGGCGCACCCCAGTCCTCTCCCTTTTGTGCGCTCTCTCCGGGAACCGGGGCGCGGAGGATTTCCCAGCCCCGGGAGCATAAAGCCCACAGCCCCGCGCCATCACCCACTCGTCCTGGATGCTGCGGCTGCGAGGCTCCGTCGGGGTCTCGGTCCCCGGTCTCGCCGCGGCGCAGAGGCTGCGGGTGCTCGGGGCGGCGGCGGCTCCACGCGCGCTCGCTCGGGGCCGCCTTCTCGCGCCTGCAGCCGGAGCCGGAGGTGGTGCGCGGAGGAGTGGACGCGGTGGGGGCTGGGCGCGGCCTCAGCCAATCACGGGTCGGGTGGCTCCTCCCCGCGCCCCCCACCTCGCGCCCGCAGGTTAGGGGGAGGCGGGAACGGGCTGCGCCCCGCATCCTCTGCGCGGCGAGCGGTAGCGGCCTGGCAACTACAACTCCCAACAGGCGCCGCTGCACGGCCGGGGTCCGAGCTGGGGCAGAGGGCGCGGCCCGGGAGCCTGCAGACCCCTGGAGCCCTTCTCCGCGTTCCCGTGCGCGTTTCCATGGTGACTCACGACCTTCACAAAGCCCGGCGCTGGCGGCGGGAGGCACTGGTCCCCCGGGAGCGGGAGCGCTCCGGGGCGGGTCTGGGGACGCAGTCGCCCCTCCCCAGCACAACCCCACCCGAGAGCGGAAACAATGCGAGCTGCCTTCGCCGCGGGGCCCGCAGAGGCCTCGGGGTCCAAGCCCAGCCCAGCGCGACGCCGGCGGACTGGTGGATGGAGAGGGTCCGGGCGGTCGCTGCGCACAGCCGCCTCCCCTAGCAGACGGCCCCTCGGACCTCCTCAGTTCGTGTCTGGCCCCCTCTGAGCTCTCGGATCTCTGGGTCATTCTTTGGATGGCGACGATTTTGCCCGGCGCTGCGATTCGACCTCTCAGGCCCAAGCCGCCTGTCCTATTTCTGGCGTCTCCATTCGAAGGATGGCGAAGCCTGTAGAAATGTTTTGTAACCCAGTTTACATTCGCTTCACCTTTTAAATGTGTACGTAATTTAACAGAAAAACGAGTCTGTAAGAGGAGCGGGGTGGCCCTCGCGGCTTTGCGCCACTTTGCGCGGTGGACCCGCGTTACTGGCCGGAGTTGTAACGCTAGCCTGGCTGTGGGTCAGTGATTTCCCCGTCGGTGCCGAACGTCTCCCCAAAGGCGTTCCGAAGCGCTGACACGTGGCGTCTTAACCTCCAACGCTCTGCTGGGTCCCCGGAACCCTAAAAAGCCTGAAGAAGCCCCTGCAGACTCTGGGTCCCCCGGGTAGAGTGAGGCCCTCGCTGCCTTGGTCACAGCCTGGTGTTCTCCCTGCAGGATATTTTCAGAGAAAATCGCCTTGCTGTCCCGGGAGGAGAGCGGGACAGGGCTGAACCAGGCCAGGCTGGCATCTGTGGGACGCAGTTCTGGGTCACCCCATCGAGCCTTTCTCTTTCTGAGAGGAAGATGGGTTTTCCTGCCCTTCCTCGGTCCTCTGCGCTTAGTGAGTTTATTTGGCCGGTCCTCTGAATGAGCCTGGGGTCCACTCACGGAACCCCCAACCCCGGAGACCCCAGGATGTGGCTGTGAAAACTTCCATTTTGGGGCACTGCTTATGCAATCTCTGACTGGCCAGGTTTTGCCGGAGCAGGGACTTAGGCAAAATGTATCCGGCCTCGGGGAGGTGGACTGGAGCCCCGAGTCCGCGCTGAGCCGGGCGTCGGGTCCGCCGGCCACCACCACCTGCCTCGCTGCGCTTTTTGCCTTAGGCGGAGAGAGCCCCCCAGCGGCAGTAAGCGTTTTCTGCAGCGTTTAGCGGATCTCAAATTTATTCTTAAAACCTATCTGCTCTGGTCGGAAGGAAAAAGTCATACCCAAACTTGCGGTTGCAGACGTCCTCGGTACTGGATTTTTGGTTGGTCGGTTGGTTTTAAATCTGCTTTCTCTTGGGAAGTAGAAAGAGCACAAAGTTTAGCGTCACATCCCTGGGTTGGAATCCTGGTTCCTTCTGGCTACTTGAAGAAGTGACCCATTCCATCTGAGCCTTAGTTCCAACCCCACCCCAAGAACACGAGGGCCATAATATGTTCTTTTAGCCCAGCTGCGATCATTTCCTGAGGAAATGTGCATAAAGGGCATAAGCCCATGGCTTGGCATATAGAATAACTCAAATGTATTCATTCAACAAAAATGGTTATGGAATAGTATGAGGGAGACGAGATTATGTGACACTCCCTACAATAATAGCCACAAAAGACAGTATGTTGTGATCTTTATTATAAAGCTCATATGACCAGTGGATAAAGTAGGACAGAGATTCAGATGAGAGAAATCAGTCCAGGACAGATGATCAGATGGGCAGGGGGCTGGATTTGGATTTCACCCGGATATTAATTTGATAGGTAGCTTTAAGGAGAGGTCTGAGATTCGAAGATGACAGGAGAAAAGCTTGTGGTCAGGAAGCCTAGGAATGTTTGGGAGGCAGTGGAGGAACTCACTGTGGCTTGGAAGTCAAGTCCATGAATGGGGGCAGTTGGAAAAGAAAGGGAATAGCAAGGTAGGTGGGTATTTAGGTCAGTCTTCATGAAGCCCAGGACTAGGCTCAAACTTGTGATCCCCCTGCCTCAGCCTTACAGAGTGCTGGGATTACAGGTGTGTGCTACCATTGCTGGCTACACTAGGTATTTTATAACACATCATCTAATCCTTACTACTCTGCTTAGCGGGTAGCATCTCTCACTTTTTACAGACAAGGAAATCCAAAGTGAGGATAGGCAACTTGTCAAGAAATCACACTGCTTTAAGTAGCAGAACCAGGATTCTAAACATCTTTCAAATCCAAAGCTGAGCATTTCTGCTCCAGCATGCCCTTCCCTCCACCCTCCAGTGGGGTTGACTCTCCAGTGCAGGGAAAGACTGTCCTGATTTGACTGACTCCAGGAGAGCCTCTTGCCAAGCCACTGGCCCCCACAAGGGCTTCCTCTGAAGTTTCAACCAGTTCCTTCTCTAGGTCCCCACTAGGAAAGGGCTTTTCCAACAATCGGGAAGCCCTGTATTAAGTTTCTTCCTATTCCTCTCTTTCCACCTTTCTGGGCCTTTATACTGCTCAGTGACAACCCTACTGGGGCAAACATGCTGTGAGGTCTACTTCACCTAAAGTAATTGTGAAGCAGCTGTCTGGGAACCCTCTATTAGATGATTGCCACAGAGCAGAGGCCCAAAAAAGGACAAGAAAGGCAGACATTGGGAGAGGGAGAAAGGACACAGAGGAAGCACAAAGAAGCCCTAAAGACACAGAGATGGGGCTGTGGGTGTAGCCCTGAGTTCATCTCCAGCACAAAAACCAAACCTAACCAACCAAACAAAGCCCATGGAGATGATCAGATACACTAACCGGGACAGTGGTGAATGAGCACCAGAGAGTTCCAGTCCCCAGCCCCACACAGCGCAGGGGGCCTGGGGAGATGGGAGACAGATGCTGGAGCTGAGAACATCAAAGTGAATTCCCACGGCTTATCACTACCCTGGACAAGCAGATGCATTCGCCAAAAATTTAAATGATTTCTTCTGGCCTAGGAGATGGCTTTATGTATTTATTTTTCTGCTTTTATTTTTGCATTTCAAAGTTTAATTTTGAAGTAGAATGTCTTCAAAATTGGAACCAGAATGGCTGCAATCCAGCATACAGGAGGAATTGCTGGGTTATTCCAGCTGCCCTAACCCCATGGCAGAAATTTACAGCTTTAAATGTGCATTTATCTCACACACACATATAGAGATTCTTTAAGCCAAAACGAACCTAGAAATTGCATGGTCTCACAATGCTGACATTATACAGATGGAGATAATGAGGTGTTGTTTTATTTTTTCTCCCTTAACAGAAATTCATGTGAGTTGTGTAAATATTGAATAGTTTCTCTAGTGTGAGAAACTGAAAGTGTAAATAAGGACTAAAAGGTATAATAGATAATGTGAAATAGGAAGAAAAGGGGCAAAGGGGAAGGGGAAGTGGGAGGGGTGGGGAAAGGAAAGAAGGGAATGGAATTAATATGAGAAAATGAAAAAAAGGAAACAAAGTCTTTGTAAATAGGGAGGGATGGAGGGGTCGAAGGGAGGGCAGGGGAATGGGGAGGTCGAAGGGAGGGCAGGGGAATGGGGAAAAAATAAGAACCAAGAGAGATTATGTAAAGGTGCAAATTTCCAATGACGAATGTCATTATATTGTATACCTAAAATGTACCAATAAAAGGATATACAGAAAAAAAATTCGTGTGAGTCTTAGAATAATAATGAGAACAAGAAACAAAACTCTTATAAACAATCACCTTCAGAGAACAAAAGTTACTTTAAGAGCCAAATCTTTAATCACCCCCATCTGTCACACCCCACGACACAAAGCTATATTAAATTTCTACCAGTGTGAGGAACTGATATTTGAAAGAAGCACCTCAGCTCGACCCCTAAGTTGAGTTTTTCCTTATAAAATGAATCCAAAGAAATAAATGGTAAGAGACCCATTACTACTGTTACTTCATCTTTTTTCTAATACCCTTTTATGAAGACAGCTCTTCTGCTGGGCTTATGTTTCCTCTTTAGTTATCAGAATTTCAGAATTAAAGCAACCTGGGTATAGTGGCACACACCTTGTAATCCCAGAACACTGGGGAGGCTGAGCCAGGAGGGTTGCAAATTTGAGTCTAGCCTGGGCAATTTAGTGACTTAGTGAGACACTCTCAGAATTTTTAAAAGGGAGAGTGGGCTAGAGATGTACGTCAGTGTTGAAGGCCCTGGGTTTAATCCCCAGTACCATAAATGAAATGAATAAAATAAATACAAATAAATGAAATGAATTAAAGCTAGTCTGGAGTCCTAGCTACTGGGGAGGCTGAAGTACGAGAGTCATTTGAGCCCAGGAATTTGAGGCCAATCTGAATACCCCATATTAAAAAGAA